CTCTCTCTCTCTCTCTCTCTCTCTCTCTCTCTCTCTCTCTCTCTCTCAACTTGCGGTTGGAGCACTGCACAAGCTTTACATGGATTCTAACTCAGGTCCCCATGCCTGCTCAGCACATTACCCACTGAGCCAGCTCCCTAGCCTCTCTGGCATTTTGTTTTGTTTGGAGACTGGGTTTCTCTGAGTAGAAACTGTCCCTCGATGTCCTAAAATTCTGTAGACCAGGCTAGCCTTGAACTCACTGCCTTTTGCCTCCTAAGTACTAGGATTAAAGCGTGCACTACCACACCTGGCCTGGTTTTCTTTTAAAGAGACAGTTTCCTACAGTGGATGTGCAGATCTAGTGTATGCTGTCTGCCAGGTGTTATCAAATACATCTGTACAATATCAATTTGAGCACCACACACTGCTGGGCTCTTCTTGGCTTTCCCAGGGATTCCTACACTGTTGCACCCAGAAACAGCCTTGCTCGCTCTCATTTCTACCATAGATTAGTTTTCCTCTTTTAGGATTTCATAATAGAAAATCATACAGCATTGTCTTAGTTAGGGCTTTACTCTGTGAACAGACACAATGACCAAGGCAACTCTTATAAGGAGAACATTTAATTGGGGCTGGCTTACAGGTTCAGAGGTTCAGTCTATTATCATCAAGGCGGGACCATGGCAGGCATGGTGCAGGAGGAGCTGAGAGTTCTACATTTTGTTCTGAAGGCAAACAGAAGACTGACTTCCAGGCCCACGCCCACAGTGACACACCTACTCCAACAAGGCTACACCTCCTAATAGTGATACTCCCTGGGCCAAGCATATACAAACCATCACAAGTAACTACTTTTTGATATTTTTAATTTTGGGGGGTTTTTGTGGGGGGCTTTATGTGCATGTATGTCTGTGTACCACTTTTGTGCCTAGTACCCACAGAGACCAGAAGAGAATATCAAATCCTCTGTTACAGACAGTTAAAAGCTACCATGTGGGTGCTAGGAATTGAACTCCGGATCATCTGGAAAAACAGAGAGAAATCTTAACCGTTGAGCTGTTTCTCCAGCCCCTATAGTTTTGAAAATTATTCATACGGTTATAGCAATATACTTCTCTTTTTGGTGCTGACTGTTAATACATTATCCCTGGAATGTGCCAGTTTGTGAGCTTGTCTCTACAGACTCTTTTCTGTTCTGTTTCCTGTTCTTTCTTGTCCCTCAGTGCTGTGTGTTTGGAGAGAAGGAAGTAATCAAAGTATGCACACAGCTGAAGTCCACCGACTTCATTGTGGATTTCTTTTAGGGCACTCTGTTTAGATTGAGTAAACCCGGCTGGTTTGTAATTTTACTGGCTATTTTATTTCATTTCTTTATCCCCAAGCTTGCTCTGTGTGGATTGTCACAGTTCGTGCTTTTGCATAGTTTATACAACTTTTAAAAGTATATTATGTAATGAAATTCTGTATTTGATACTTTGCTTTGTTATTTTAAAAATTCCAAAAGACTATTTGATAGTTTAACAGTTCCCAAGCCTCATAAATCATAACAAATAGTCTGAATATTGAGTAAACATTTGCTTTTCATATCTTTTGAGGATAGTTCTATAATGGCTACGTTGGTTATTCTAAGTATAATTTACCTAAACTTGCTGAGCTCTTATATGGTGATCCACAATATAAAGCCAAGGGCAAGGGCAAGCTGCTTCCCCCAGCCCCAGGGTGCACTGCAGTTCTGTGAGACCTCCCTCTGACCTCCCTTAACTCTAGATTGATTCTGCACGACAGTGTAGATCAGTGACTGCACCTCTCTTCCTGATCCTTATTTTAAAAAGGAATATGTAATGAAGCCTAACATACATTTTATGTGACATAAAGTTTCAAATTTGTTGAAGTTATGTTTATCTTTACCTTTTTTTAGGTTTGGTTGGGATGTTCCAGTAATTCTGAGAAATTCAGAAGAAACCCAGTTCAGCACAAGAGCATTCAAGAAACAAATGAGACAAGTGAAGAATCCTTTTGGCTTAGAGATCACTAATTCATCCGCAGCTTCCCTAGCAAGTTGGTGGCTATTTCCAACCTTTCCCTCATTTAGTGTCCCCTGTTCTTAGCCCTTCTGTCTTCTTTCTGTTGCTCTCTCTCCTCATTAAACTTAACCATTTATTGACCTGAGCACTGCAGATGTGAAGATGAATGTTTTTACATTTAATTTTGGAAGAGTTTATCCAGTAGTTAACAGAGACAGATGTACATGGAGAGGAAAGAAGTACAGCACATGTTAGTGGACAGTCTGTTAGGATGCTAACTATGCCACGGTCAGTGATTTATCCAGTAGTTAACAGAGACATTGTTTATGGAAGAGAATGAAGTACAGACATGTTAGTGGATAGTCTGTGCCACAGTCATTGGTCCTCAGTAACATAATGATCAAATGTGTAAAACAGTGAGTTTAAGGTTGCTGGCTGTTTTAAGAACTGATTTATAATCTGAAATTATGATATTTTAGTGTACGTTATTTTCATATAATATTCTGGTTTTGCTGTGGTAATTACAGTGTGCAGGCTGTAATTGTTTCTGTGTCTGGAAAAATAAATTGTTAGAAGGACTTCTTAGGAGCCATGGAGGTGAATTGTGAAGAAATAAAAGTTAAGTCTGCCACAGTAGAGACACTTTGGAAAGTCCTTGGAGAGAGCATGTGCTCATCCCAGTCCCTTGTAGATGTTTTCTAGTTGTCTCCATTGAAAGATAATCGGGTGTTTTGGGGTGTGTGGGTGGAAGAAGTGGGAGCAGAGCACCCAGAGGTGAGAAGTGCAGAAAGGTGAGAACCAGGGAGTCTTTGTGGCTCAGACAGGGAGGGGCAGGTGTGATGTTACCGTCAGCTGTTAGTTGGACAGACGCTGGCTTTACTTGCTTGTGAGGGATTACCTTGATTGTGGTGACCCAGGTAAGAAGGCCTGCCCATTGTGCTTGGCGCTAACCCTTGGCTGCACCCACGGACTATATACACAGAAAATGAGAAGTGAACGGCAATGTACATTCGTGGTGTGAACTGAGTGTGAACAAAGTGTGAGCAGCTGCTTCAGGTCCAAGCCACCCTGAATCTTCACCATGATGGCCTGTGCACTTGAGCTGTAGCCAGAATAAACCTTTTCTCCCCAAAGTTGCCATTCCCAGGGCATTTTTATGACAGTAACAGGAAGCGAGACTAAGACAATAGGTTAGAGAGAAGAGTCCATGAAGACTTGATTCTTTGCATGGGTTTCCATAGACAACACTGAAAACAGAAGTAAAATGGGAGGCATATGGAGTTTGGAAGAAAACACTGAATTCAGTTTTGCATCTGTGGATTTTGAAATGCTTTTGTTACTCTTCAGTGCAGATGGAGATTTAGGAGCAGAGGTGCTCACCTTCAACACCTTTCATATCTTAACAACAAATGTAATCGTTCTCAGCTTTTAGCTTATTCTTGCCACCACTTCTTTTTCTTTCCTTCAAACCTGTTTCAAACAAACAAACAAACAAACAAAGAAACTGTACAAATTGGAGCCAGGAACATGGTTAAAATGCAACCATGAGGACCAGAGTTCAGATCCACACACAAACTTTCAGGAGGGTGTAGAGGCCTGCTTCAGAAGGTGGAGATGGGATACCCGGGCAAGCTGGCTAGCAAGAGGAGATATCTCTGAAGCTGTGGGTTGAGAGATCCTGCCTCAGTGAGAACATAAAGGTGACCAAGGAAGATTCTCAACATTAATCCAGAAAAGCCATGTCAGGGTGCAGGTGCACACATGCTGGCGTGCCCGCACACATGCACACATGCACAGCACACACACACATGCACAGCACACACATGCACACATGCACAGCACACACATGC